TGTTCAAGGCCAGGTTGGATGAAGCCTTGGGTGACATGGTTTAGTGTGAGGTGTCCCTGCCCATGGCAAGGGGTTTGGAACTTGATGATCTTAAGGTCCTTTCCAACCCTAACTTTCTATGATTCTATATAGAAAGTTTAATTTGCAATTTCACTGTGTAGCGCTTCCTTCCCTGCTTGTTTTTTTCTGTCAGTTACTGCAGCAGCATCTCCTTGCATGAACCTTCTGATCATACCCACATTGAATCTTCTGGTGGTTTAATTTATATCTGATGAGCAATTGAGTAATTTAAAACTGCATCTCTCACTGTTCATAACACTCCTTCTTTCTAGTGGGCAAGCTGATGGAGCTGCATGGAGAAGGTGGTGGTGCTGGCAAACCCTCTGGAGACGAGGCAGGCACTAAAGTAGAGCGAGCTGATGGATACGAGCCACCTGTGCAAGAATCTGTCTGAAACAAAAAATGGATGGAAAATAAAAGTTCTAATATACAGAGCTATTGCTTGGTTGCTTGTATTGCTGCTAGACAATGTTGGCACTGGGTGTGTGAATGGGATTTTCATCAGGTAAACCCATTGCCTTAATTTAAGTAAAAAACCCCTAAACTTCTGGTGATCTGCTTTTCATGACTGGTGGTGTGAGATGGGTGGAAGAAAGCAGACTGTCCTTCTTGAAGGGGGGGGAAGTACAATACTAAGGGTTCTGAATGTTGGGGTTTCCCAGGAATTTTGGTCCTTGCAAAAGAAGTCTTGTGGGCATGTGCAGAGGTTGCTGTGGTAACAGGTACATCAAGGAAGAACATTGTGCAGGGAAATAGGGGTGCCACACAGGGAAAACTTGTTTCTGGGAGTTTAATATAGGGAAGTTGTAGGGATTTATCCATACTGTTTCCTTGAAAATTACGTATGTTTAAGCTTGGTGGCAGTTTGATATGACCTCTCATGGGATTGGCTTGGTCTCTGAAAGTCAAAAGGTGTCAAATAAATCTGAGTCAAATAAACCAACTCAGATTTGATGGGGAAGCAGGGTTTTGAGCAGTGCAGAATGTGCTCAGGAGCAGGGTTGTGTGTTCAGCCTCTGAACTGAAGGGTAGGTGTAATCACAGTTAAAAACGCCGTGGAACTTGAGGGGGAAGAATTGTGCTATGAAATGGCAAAAGGCAGTGTTCAGAACATAAAGCACACTGAAGTGATTTGCTGAGTAATTCTGGGTGCTTTTTCCATCATCCAGTGGCATTTTTGCTGCTTGTTTGCCTTATGCAAGCTTCAGAATTGAAAGAGTGTGTATTTCTGGCTGAGTATTGTGCACTGGGGGCATGTTTTGATTAGAATCGGGCAGCAAATGTATATCTGTACTGTTAAATTGTTTGGAAGTTTGTGATTTAAAATCAGACAGTAAAACAGTTTTGACCTATCTGGGAAGGTCTCTTGAGGTCGTGGTGGCTCTTGCAGTCAGCTCTGAAATAGCTTTGGGCAAGAAACCAAGGAAAGTAATTAAATGTTACTGTTGCAACAAAGATACTAGGGGGAAGTAAAGGAGTGCTACCCATGAGGGCTGTACTCTTCCATGCTGGGGAGTTCTTTCTTTTTCCTGGTTGATAATTCTAGTGTGAAGCAAACTGTGGGCAAAATGAAAATACGTTTCTTAATTTATTTGGGAGACTGCAGAGATGGGATGTCACGTTGCGCTTCCAAGTTGATGTTTTAATATGGGGAATGATATTAAATGATGAATGATATTACTCAGGTAACCATCTTTCTGGACTGTAAATGCAGGCCTGCTCGTCCTGCTTTTTGGTTTGTGAAGTGGCAGTGTAGTGAGTCTGTGAAACTGTCACGATGCTGAAACAGGCAGAAGGAAGGGTGCCACTTTTAATCTGCTTTGCTCTTTCCATCTGTAGTGTTCAGGCAGATGTCATTCTCCTCCAGAGTCCCACACAGTCGCATTTTTGAAGCCATATATTAACAACAAATGTCTCTTTGCTTCCATTTTTCACTGGAGTTGGAAAACTGATTTAGCACAGGTGTGGCAGGATTGGTGATCTTTGAACCTGCTGCGTATGTATCTGTGCATCAGAGTAAGATCTGTCTGCTTTCTGGTAATGGACATGTGCTGGTTGTGTTGTCTCCGCTTGGCAGTAGTTTCACCAGATAAATCCAAAGGGACTACAGGTGGCCTGTACCCTCTGGACTAGAAAAGTTAGAATCTGAAGGAGTAATTTCTGAGACCTTGTGCCTTTTATCTTGCTTTTTCCTTCAGCTGTATGTCTGAGGAGTGTATGTTGCAAAAAAGCTAGTCCAAGAGGATCTGGGGAAGGAACAAGAACTTGCTTTATTCGTGTTGATTTTAATTTATATTTTGGAACTGTAGTCTGCTGGCATTACCATGTAGGCGCTGTGGGTAAATGTATGCGTTACGTGAGTTCAGATGAGGCAGAAGTAAGCAGCAAGGAAAGTTTTGTGCATCCTCTGTATTCTTTGTACAAATACCAGCTGAAAAAGCATGTATAAATAGGAGCAGTCGGCAGAGCACGCCTGAGGAATTGCTAATCAGCCCAGGGTCAGCCTGTGCATTCATCTCAAATGATCTTGCCGTGGTGAGTAATGCTTCACTCTTGTGTGATATCTGCAATGACAGCTGGTTGCTGCAGGTAGCAAATACAGACTCTGCTGCAGGTTGTAAGTGTGAAACACACCTGAGTCTGAGGGCTGGAATAAACTGTGTTACAGCCATCAGGGTTCTCTGAGGGGTTTGGACCCCTTGCAAAGTGATGTGGTACTACTGTATTGTTGCTTTGGGGGTGCGTTGTTAGGATCAGTCTTTTTGTTTGGGGTTTTTGTTGCTGTTGGGTTTAAGCAGAATGAGATCCATAAAACTTGTGGAAAGCTCAGGGCTCACCAGCTGCAATGCCATTGTGACTTAATTATAAAAATTTTATTGGTTAAATACATTCTTAATTTACAGAGGTACCATAACAAACTTACTGGACTTAACAAAGATTTATTTAGGACACTTAATTGTACACATGACACAGATGTCTTCCTGAAGCTATCTCCAGAGGGTGGGTCAAACAGAAAAGGGTTTTGATAAATGAGGCTTTTACTATCATACTAATATATGTGGGGTCTAGCAGAGTTTCAAGGCTACAGCTGAAATTTGCTGCTATATTGCAGATAGGATTTGTGCTCCACTTCATTCTCCCTTCTTTTTTGCAGATTCTGTACTGTACACCTTAGGAATTTCACGTTACCATCAATATGCAGCTTCATGGTGCCATGAGGAATCAGTCTTAAGAAAATCCCTTCCTGGAAAAGCATGGAACTTGTTTGGGTTTTAAGAACTAGGCTGTTAGTAGCTGCCTGCAGTAATGCAAGCAGCCTTTAGATGGCACTCCTTGCTCTGAAGATAAGGCTTTGCTGCTCTTCCTGCCCTGCGTGACAGGGAGGAGGTGGTTCAAATAAAGCAGTGGCCTTAGTCAGGCACTGACTTTGCACATTCAGTGGAAATTACAAAAACAAACAAACAAACAAAAAAAACAACCAAAAACCCACCGGTCAATACACAGTTATAAAAAGGGGACGAGGCAACTGGGAAAAAAAATAGAAAAAGTCAGTTCTACTTTTGAGACTTGTATCAAAATCTTAGAAAACTGCCAGACAAACAGTAAGTAAACATCATACACTTCAGCCTCATCCACCACCCCAGTGATGTGGTGGGTCCTGGAGGACCTGGCTATCGTGTTGGTGTGGGCTCTGCTTGGTTCTGCTGTTCTCCTCACACTGAGATCACTGGAGGGTCAGGGACTGCAGTGGCCCAGCTCATGGTGGAAGAAGCCTGTTCTCAGTAGGGTGACCCACCCAAAGCTTGTGGTTGAAAAGCCTTCAGTGGGCTTGCAGGAGCCAAACAAGCTAGACAGCTGTGTTTCCGTGGATTTCTCTAGGTGGCTGTTTTATTGGAGTAAAACAACAAGAACCTTTGAATGTCCTGGCAGGATAGCTTGGGGAGTGGGAAGGGTTGCCCTTGGTAGATCTACTTACACTGAAGTTTGATTCCACAGGAGTTCTGGACAGGCTTGCTAGGGATGTTAAAACTGAATAATAGGCATGTAAATTGTCATGTTCTCATCTTTCTAGAATAGCACATGATTTATAATTGTTTCTATGTTAATCCTGTTAACGAAAGCAGAAATCCAGTTTCTGCTTAATTAAAACTGCGTGGTCTGCCTCCCCCAGTTGTGTGAATGGTATTGCTGCAGTTTAAATACATTTCACATTCATGAAGCTTCTAGAGAAATAAAAAAAGGAGTACTAAGGTCTGTGTCTGTATTTGCACATGCTGTGCCATAACTGTGATTGACTGTGCAGAGTAAACCAGTACTGAGGACCTCATGCCTGTGCTGCATGTTCCTTGGGCTCACTTAGCCCATTCCCTGCTGTGGGGGAGTCCTGTGCCTGCCGTGATGGTAATCAAAGTGCAGTGCACAGGGAGGGGAAGGTTGTCCTCACCAGTTTGCTGAGATACTAAATTAGATGCACCCCGATCGTGGCAGCAGCAAGTACTTGTTATAATATTACACCTCCCGTTGGTAAAGTTGTAGGCAGATATGTGATTAAGTTAAAAAGCATCTCAAGATCAGTCACGATGCCTCTAGTTTCCAGTCTCCATCCACCACTCAACTGTTGGCCCTTTTGCAACCTGAACTTCCAGACCCACAAGAAAATCCTGTAAGAGTATCCCAATACCTAATGACCTGCATCTCTTCTGCAGTAAGGACTTGTGCTTACAGTTTACTGGTTCCTTTTTGCTATAGTACAAAAGTGCTGGAATACAGTCAGCAACACAAGAGCCAACTGCAGGGTAGTGTTTTCTATTGCAGTCTGATGAAATTAGCAGTTAATCAAAATGTGTTCAACTATTTTGTCAGAAGCCAGGTGTTGCAGAAAAGGAATTTATAGGAACTTCTGGTAATAACATGAAGGTACCTCAGCCATGTCTCCCTTAGTTCAAGTCACACTGCTGCTTTTCACTAAATGACTTTGCTTGAAGTAACCTCTTGCCAAGCATGCTTTCCTTAAGGCCTCAACAGACCATTTATAATGATGCTCAGTATAGTCGGTATGTGGTAACAAACTGGAAACTAATCCCATGTCTGCTGAAAGCTAAAACCAAGGCTGTATAATATTCTTCATGTTAAGGACAGGAATGGTGTTACTGAGGTATGTTCCAGTTCTTGAGTGGCAAATGAAATGCAGGCTGAGCAAAGACTGGCTTTCCACTTTACACGAAGGGGGTGGAGGGGTAAATAGTTGGAATAGCGCAGCTACTGCATGGATGGGATCTGAGAAAGCTCATAAATGCTGTCTGTCACAACTAACTGCAGCTGGGAAAGAAGGGCACAATGGTGCTTGAAGAACAGTGGGCAGTAGGAAAATGCAAGCCTGAATCTGGAAAGGATTTTGGGAGAAGGAGATCTAAGATGATTCATACCAATTTGAACATTATTCATTGAGAAGCAAAATACTTACAAGTTTTACTTTTGTGATCTTCCTGTATGAGCAGCTTGGGCTAATAATGGAAGAATATTACACAAGGATTTGCTTTGAGTCTTCCCTCTCACGTGAATTAGATTTGATATTTTCCTGCTATGACGTACCAGTTATCTTCCTTATCTTCTAAGCCATAAAACAAGCAGATTCTACTGCTAATGTGGAAGCCAAGCAGTAATGAAACCTGAACAGCAAACTTGACTTACATACTGAGTTCTGTAATTAGATCTTAAAAAACAATTTTATATTTGGATTTAAAAAAGATTTGAAAGAAGCCCAAAGAAGCTTTATGCAAACTTTGTGCATGATAAATGTAATACCAGATAGTATATGTAGTAGAATTCTATTTTAAGTTAAAATGGTGTTGCACCACAGTATTTCCCTGGTTGGAAACCACTAAAAACCCTGCTTGTATTTGCTCTCAGAGCATTCATGAAGCTTGACTATATACACTGTCACAAAAGACTCCAATTCTCTTACTTGACTTCAAGATACTAGTATGACTGTCTAGAAAAAGTAGTGCAAAACATTGATAGTCAAAACACGTTGATGTCTTTGCTGTGCCTTTAGGATAGAAAACGTTCTCTCCTGTGTGCAGGGAGTACAAAGAGAAGCAACACTCATGGTGCTTTTAAAATCTGAACAAAGTTCTTGGGAAACATCCCAGACTTTCCTTGTATCTCTCCACTCATCCAGTCCTCGTCCACAGATTCCAGCTCTGTTATTATCTCACCTGCCTGTAAGAGAAGGAGTAACGTGAGCCTGTGCAGCTTACCCTGCAATGCTAACACATGCATAGCTGATGTTACTCAGAAGCAATTAATACCAACCAAATAGAAGTAGGATATGGCCAGTCCCTTCTATTGGTTGTATCTCTGAGATTGTTTGTCCAAACCAGCTGAAGCTTCTTTTAGGGTAAATACTTGTCTATATTGAAAAAGCACTGCTGGGTAACTTGTGTTGCTGAAGCTCTCCAGGCAGGTAGGTACGTAAGAGAGTCGTTTCACAGGTTCCCTGCCTCACTTGTTATTTGTGTGTTTCCCTGCGGTTATTAGGGTTTCTTTTCTGAAAACACTAGCTTTTTTTTTTTCCTTTCCCCTTTTTTTCCTTCTTTCAATTTAGTCCCAGTATTTCCCAGCACTTGGAAAGTTTCCAGGGGAAAGCGTCCTCTCCCCAGAAGGAAAACAATCATCTAAGTATCTCAGTGTGCCTGGTTAAAATAATCTGCAGCTCCTGTGTTTGATCCTTCCTCCTGTTTTCATCATCTCATGGCACACCCTTCATTTGAGGTACTGTCATCACCCTGGCCTTTCTGCCAGTACCTCTGTTACCCTTTTCTGCTTTAAAAAATCATCTGCCCTTTCAGCATTGCAAGCAGCTAGTGACGAAACTTATTATTTTGTTATTTTAGAAAGGAAAATAGGGTGTTTCAGCTGATACACATAATTTTGGGCCTGCTGTATAAGTCTCTTGTTTCTCAGAAACTCGCTTCTGAGGATGCAGTTAGCTAAGTCATGACTTTGAATCCACAAGGGCATGCTCACTGTTTCTTGTTCATGCTTCTTAACACTATCTGGGCATCCACCAAGTATTTAATTTCTCCCCTTGTTTCTTTGACAACTTTGTATTGTTCTGCCAAACTTAGATTTTGCTGTACTAGGTGTCTCTTAGAGTAACTGCTGCTGTAGCACTGGCACCCTTACTATTATCCTCTTCTTGCTGTCTTTATAGTTTAAAGAAAAAGATGTTCCCTTGACCATATCAACTGGCCAAGAACTGAAAGTACTGCAAAGTGAGGTTGGTTTGTTTCTTGTCATGTCTTCTGGATCAGAGAAGTCAGAGGAATTCTGTACCTCCGCACCTCTTTTCAGTGTCTTCAGTGAAGACTGCCAATATGAAACAGAAGTGGTAAGGGCAAAACTTTGTTGAGAGACCATTTATCAAATGTGTTAATATCTATTCCTATTACACGTACTTTGTTCTTTCTTGTTCCAAACCTACTTTCACAGTGGATAAATCTTATTTTTTAGCATTCTTTAGCATAAGACCTTTTGGAAAAATGTCTAAGAGAGGTACTTACTTTGAAGGAAAGCTCATCTTCATTTTCTCCATGAAAATCATAAAGAGCTTTGGCTTTTCCTTTCTTCCCTCCTACAGACTGTGACATCTCTACTCTGGCTGCAGAACATGGACAAGTTATTTGGATTGGAATGAAATAAATCTGTTTCCAGAGAAGTTTTCTGTCATTCTCATGTTTTCTCCCCACTACTGTGCTACAGGCTGTCCAGATGGTATTACTATTGCTACTTGGCAAATTCAGTGTCCTACTGGAATAAAAATCTCTACTGCCACCAATTCATTTTACAGTACTAACACCTTCTCATGGTTCTGCTTCTACGAGGACCAAAATGAAAGTTCACTTGCGTAACTTTCCAATAATATCTAGTAAAAGCTGTCTTTTCCTCTTTGTACTTGAGATGAAGCAGCACTTGGTGTGTGCTATTTGCCAGTTAGGTGGAATTTATTTCCTGTCAACTTTCACTCATAGCTTTACTTGCAAAAGCAATGGGAAAAAACAGTGACATTTTATGTCCTCTGTGAAGGTTTTGCCTGCAGTGATTTGGGGACCAAAGAGAAGCTTCGGGAGAATAAGCAGCCTTTGTTCCTTGCTTCACCGAGGGCATTGCAATAGATTTGTGCCAAGATGCACCAGTTGTAGTTATTTACAGTTCTACCAGCTCTTTGGTTATGCTGGCAGTGTTTTTCTTCAGCTAAGGGAGGAACCTGGTTCTCCAGTCATCCCCTGCACCTTTTGTACCCCTGAATTCCTAGTAAAGGCAGCTCAAGGGTCCTGTTCTGCCTGTGCCTAAACCATGCTTTAAACCATCCTATAATCTGCATTACCTCCCAGATAACTTACTGACTAGAGCATTATATTGCCATTAGAAAGAGTGGTTCAACACTTACTTAGTTTATCTTTAGGGTATTAAGGACCGCAGTGGAGTGTGGCTTGTTAATGCAATGGAATAGTTGGGTTCTCCTAGAACCCAAATGCCATGACTGTCACAACCCAAGGAATAATGTATTGCCATCTAATAGGAGCATTGTACCTGAACAGATCTGAACAAAAACTGCTGGGAAAATCCCTTCCTTTTCATTCAGTCTTCCTCTATACCACTCTGGATCTACTTGTTCCAGTATTTGGATGTAGTCACCCTTTTTAAAGGATAAATCGTCTTTGGTTTCTGCTGTGAAATCATGAAGCGCTTCACACCACTGTACTGAGCGTCTGTTGTTCTATTCAAGTGAACAGAAGAAATGCATTAATTTTAGAAGCGTTAATGTTGCCCATAAGCTGATGGATGCTGGTGAAAGCAGCTGTACGGAACATGGGTGTCCTGACTTTCTCTCATACAATAGCGTTGCTGCAGATGTAGACGAGAATGGCATTTCAGCAATTACCACAGAATTTCATCTGGGCTCAGACGCATTCCTTTTTATCACTGATGGCAGGGGACAGGATTAATCAAGTCAAAATTAGACCACTGCAGCACCACTTAAAATAGAGCTAACAAGAATTTGCTTCAGCACAAAGGATAAGAATTTACTGATGTTAATTTGCCAGGAGCTATGAATTCAATCAGTTTAGGCCAACCATCAGATTTCAAGATGGGACCAAGCAGCACTGTGTACTGTGGGTGTTGTGCTACACCCAGGGATAAAGTTGTGCAGCTAATCTGACATTAGAATAGAAAGTCTGTGTAAAGCTATGAAAATGCTGTTTAAATTCTGGCCCTCACCTACAAAGTTTTATTACCTGAGGAAGGGAAGAAGAAACCTCCACCTTGTTCTTTAGTGTTGCTCCTGTACCTACATAAGTAAAGCACAGCTTAGAATGACAGCAATGACTATTCAAAACCTTACTAATGACAGAGATTTTAGATATTTAAAGCGATTATTAAGAATAGCTTCTTAAGAAGTCCTACCATTCCTTTTGGGTTTTTTAATGTGTCTTTTCTCTCTTTCTGCCTCCTTCCCATATTCATTGTCCTTTTGCACTTTCCTCCTATACACATGCAGTACAAAACCATGTTCCTGAAGATTTTTGCAAACATATTCATACCTGTTCCAGGCAGATCTTCAATTACTTCCACAAAGTTCAAGGGGAAGATTCCAGATATGCCTCTGAGCTCTCCTTTGGCCCACTCCTCATTTACATAGTCTTTCAGGATAATAGTTTCACCTTCTGAAAAACTGAGCTCATCTTGCTGATCTCCGATATATTCAAATCGTGCTACACATCTTGGGCCTCTGCACAAAAATAAAGAGAGAAACTGACTTGCCTTATTTATTATTATTGCCCACTTAATAATATGCCAGCATTGTCCAAAATATGGTCTGATACAATAATTTAAATGACAGAATACCCCGAAGACAAAACAGGTGGAAAATTGGTGTCTAGCCCTGGTTCTCATCTCTGCTTTCTGAGGAGGATGAAGGAGCTGGATGCAACTTCTGCATCACAATCCCTGTTACAGTATTTTGCATAAGACCCTATTTCTCTTCCAAACAACAAGAACAATGTCACTTTGTTTCTGGGCTACCTGACTCATTTTATAGTTTTGCCTATATCCAAGTAAGTGTCCTAATACACTTATGTTAAGAACTTGATGTTTTTTTGAGCAAGCATCAAATTTAGAGCAATCAAGCATGGGTAGGGGGTGGGTGTTGTGTATTGGTCCCAGATCCTAAATGCATGGAGGTTTCACAGGGGAAAGACAGTTTTAATCTACTTTGACAAACTTCATTCTGTAAAATCCATCCCAGGTATGGGGAAATACCTTATTTATCAATGAAACGTCAATATGTCTGATAAATTTTGCATAGTTTGTTGAAATGCTGAAAAAGACCTTGTATTTTTCTTACTTTAAATGTATGCAATAGTGTAATAAACTAATAATGAAATAATAAGAAATTAAGAAGATTTTTAATCTCTCACAAATGAAAAAAGTAACAGGCTTTAATTCTGTATATAGCATCACAACATACAAGCATTGTCAGTAGCTTGATTCTCACCTCTGTCCCTCATGCCTATTTTTGCCAAAGCTTCAGGACAGAGCTAGCACTACCTGTTTCTTTCTTAGCTGCAGAAGCAGCTTTTAAAAATAAAGTTTCATTTAAGTCAAGCCAAGCTCAATCTGAAGAACAAACTGAATTATCCCATTGATAGTAATAGTTCCTCTCTCTCCCTGAATTTGTTTTAATTGGTATAATGAGTGACTACAAAATCCAATAAATCATCAAGTAAAAATAACACAAAAAATGTTTCTCGCCCACAGATCTTAGTACAAGCGTTTGCAAATCGAAATGAATGTGCTTGAAGTATATTTGATAATTTCATTTGGGGAACTTTAGATTCACCTGTATAGTTATACACTTTAAGGTTAGATAGATTTCTCTACTTAAAGTAGAGGTATATTCTGTCCCACTTCATCTTGTTCTTTCAAATGAGTGGGAGCCCTACCACATTGTGTCTTACAAGGATACTGGAAGAAAGTTGGCAAGGCCAGGAGCAAAGAGAGAAGTGTGCAGGGCTGCTCAAGTTCATCAGATCGGTTCACAGTCTCTGTAACCAATCCGCATGAAGAATTATGGGAAACGCTCCTCTGATACAGTTCATAAGAGGAAGAAATGTGAGTGAAGGGGACTATATCTACATGAACATTTATTATAAACATTATTACATTTATCTTATAAAAATGAAGTGTTCTACCAATTTTTGAAACCACAAAGTGAGTTTTTAGGCTTTTTTTTTCTTTTTTTTTTTTTTACCTGAATATGATGTTTTCACCAAAACCTGTCAGTTTTGAGAGCTTAATTTTTAAAATGTATTTTGGTGAATAAACTGTTCACCATATTAACCTCAATGCAGATAATGCTTCAAAGTTATCTTTCTTTTTACTTCCTAGTAAATCAACGTGAAAAAGAAAATAGTATTGATGTGACTCACTTAATACATTGTGATGAACATGGTATTCTTTTCCTGTTGCCTTCTTCTGGAACATCAATCTAGTAAGACAGCAAAATAAGTAAAATCTTCCATTTCAAGCTCACGGCAACTTAAGTACAATAAACTTGGAACCAGTCAGAATAATCTATTTTTCAGCTAGGCATCAGCTCCAGTTGTGACCTCCATGTGACACTCTATACATGCTATGATATTTGATGATATTAATGTAGATTTCAGTTTTGTATGCCTGATTTCTCATTTCCAATCTCATGCAAACAAGGAGCTCTATTTAATGTTTTCTGCTGTGGAACTGATTTGCTGTTTCTACTTGGGGCGTGACTGACAGAACATGGGACTGGATGCAACCACATGTTGTTGCATTTAACTCCCAACTTTCAACTGGTAATTGCTCTCTATTATTTACTAGCACAATATATTACAACAGACAAAATTATTGTTTACACTTATCCTGTCTGGGCTCTGGTAGCCAGCTGTCCTCCAAACACAAATACATCTCGCAAATCTCACTTGAATTGGAGAAAGACAATTTAGAAAATCAATACATAGATATATCAAACAGACAGCATTCAATACCTTTATCATAAGAGGACTTCAGCTGTGTTTTTGGTATTGTATTTATGACACGAAAGATGATCTGTGAGATGTGTCAGACCCTAGAGACCCTGGTGAGGAGTTTTGGGTTACAGTTTGCTATCACATTAGCCAGTTCCCATAAAATCAACAAGAATGTTTCATTAGCTTATGTGAAGGACTGGAGAGCATGTTGTCTTTTAGGACAAATAATCTTTGCCGTGCTCTTTCTAGAGCAGCACCTGTGGTGCTCTGAAGGTTCTAAGTAACAACCATGTATTACTGCTGGGTATCCAGACCTAAGCTGTTACCTAGCCCAGTACTGTAAACCACACTGTAGCACAGAGACCTTGTATCAACATCAAATCTGACATGAATGAAGTCCTCAGTAAATCAACCTCCTGTACTGTGCTATTTATTGCCCCCCCTTTTTTAATTTTTTTTTTGAAACAAAAGATTATTGCACTCAAAAGGGTAACCACAACTAAAACATAAATTTGAAACAGATCTACCATAGCTTTCACAAAGTTGTATATGTCTGTTATCAATGCTGAACTCAACCCAAACAGCCTTTTCACTGTTTCAACATAAAAGCTTTTCTCTATTAGCCATCAGTAGCAACAAAAGCTTTTAAGTTAAATTGTTGGTCTGTGTAGAAGCAGCTATTCAGTTTAGCTAACAAATCTTTCTCATGAAAGCAAATCAAGCATGGTTCCATTATTACTAATGCCAAGTTTAGTTTTTATTCTTCAGTATTTTTCTTAAAATCTTAAACAGAATTACAAGCAAAACAGACACCCTGCACTCTTTGTTGGTTACCAAATACTTGGTATTGCCCATATAGTGCCAGTGCTCATCTCTGCCAGCTCTCCTGGCTTGACACAGACACTATCTTTAATGAATCATAGAATACCACACTGAAGGGACCTCAAAGATCACCTGGTCCAACCTTCCTTGGGAAAACATGACCTAAACTAGATGTCCCAGCACCCTGTCCAGCCAAATCTTAAAAAGTGCCCAGTTCTGGAGAATCCACCACTTCCCTGCGGAGAGTATTCCAACGGCTGATTATTCTCATTGTGAAAAAGTTTTATCTTGTAGTAAGTTGGAATTTCCCCAGAAGTAAGTTGTGCCCACTTGTGCTCTTCTCCAAGTGAAAAGGATGCCCATGTGAATGCCCAGCCATACAACTTCACTGCATCCTGGTGTCAAGTTTAGTATTCCTTCATGTCCATACGGCTGGTGTGGATAGCCCAAAGGCCCCTTCCACTGTCACAGAATGGACTTTAATCTCAGACTCAGGCTTGCAATAGATTTGATCCAGCTTTTGATGCAGTGAACCATACTGTATCTCTTTTAAAGATGAGGAAGTAAATTAATTGCTATTGGGCTCCAAAACAGCACCTGTCTCTTGCCTGCCATTTACTGTCACATTCACTAACAGGATTGCTTTAAGCCGCTCATTTGCAACAACACAATCTCCTTGCACTGTGCCAGCACCACCACTTGTGCAGCCACTTAGTAAGCTACTTAGGCAAATTGATCCAGCTGGGAAAAAAAAAATTCTAGGAAGAAAAATACCATGTTTCATTGGGCCCAACTGTTGCCCTGACCTAGTCCACTACATGGTTATGAAAGTGATGATTCCAGCACAGTTTAAAGGACAGGAAAATAAAACTAGGAGATTGGGGTGAGGCACAAAAAGCAACCATCGTACCGAGTGTTGATTCCTACATGCAGCTGTGAACAACTAATCTGCTCTGTAGACCCTGAGAAACCACTCAGGTTAACAAAGAGAATCTGGTAAGGGCCATGATTTTCTCACTTGGCTTCAAATGATAGCAAGACAATCCCCATAACACAAGCTGGTCCTGCCAAATCAAGCATCTTTCTAATACCATACAAACAGTATCTTCTGTCGTCTGTACTGCCAGAGGGAAAAGATTATGTAAATATAGAATTTAGTTAAACACACAGGAGCTATAGTAAAACAGAACCAGAAAACAAATGCAGCAGGATCTTATGCAGCAATGAATACAAAGCCTACATACAACTACTTTAACAAAGCTGGCAGGAAATATCCCTGTGCGATTCCCACATTTTCCTCTGTACCACTCAGTATCGATTTTCTCCAAAAGACAAACAGTATCTCCAGAATGGAGTTCCAGGTCATCAGGATGCTCTGTAAGACAGCATCATTTCAGTTAACAGTAGTTGTCACACTCACCGATTTTCTTTAAGCAAAACCTTCTTAATATAAATATCACAGACAAAACCAGAATGGGTTTTCAAAAAGTCTTAATTACACTGGATAAACTAGTTTGCTTTAACTAAAAGACTAGCCCAACTATAGCTAAACCCATGGATTTGAACGACTCTACATGCAGGCTTTGCAGGATGAGCTTCCTCATCATTTTTAAGCAATAATTCCTAATAAAATTCCAATTTGAAAATCTGGGAGTAAAACAAGCTTCCATAATATTCACATTTGCTTACCTGCAGGAAAATCATGCAGGACTACAGCATGAGGTGCACTTGTGTCAGAAACTTTTGGAGGGTGATTTGAGTCCTGACAACATATAAATACATGTGGTTTATAAATCATGGAAGATACAGAGATTCTCTGTTATGTGCTCTGAAAGTAATTTTTTTACTTTAGACACCATGTTTTTCTGGTATCAGATAATCACCTTTGGAGGCAACAGTTAATACTGGTCACAGAGCTATGGGACTGAATCCTGTACGCCCTTTGCTAGTGTAAACTAGAATACATTTCATCAAAATTTACTTTTGAGCCAGGAAACTGAAGGAAAGGCATGTAACTTTTCCCAGTTTAGACAAAGCCTCAGCAATTTGTGGGTCAGAAACCTGGAGCACTGGCATCAACTCTCATTACAAGGGTTGTGGTCAAAGTTTGCACTGCTGCTCAATACTGTATGCTGCCAGCCACTCTTGCTTTCTTTGAGGGAACACCCCAGCCCAACTCTCCCCAGTACACTCACCAGGGGCAGCACATCCACCCCTCAGCATTTTAGAGGGGTGAGCAAGCCACAAGACCTTTGCTTACCAGAGGATAACTGAGCGGAAAAGACAGTTTTGCTGTGGGATCTTCATAAAGGGAAATTATATTCAAAATGCTTAGCCTTTTTCCCTCCCACTAGGAATTTTTAGACTGCACTGATTACATCCACTGTGAATTGCATTCAAAGTAATAGATTGTATACAAAAAGCCCAACCAAAAAAGAACATGGACAAAGATAAGGCCAGAATAGTATGAATTACAACAGAAATCAACAGATTGCATAGAAATATATTTCAGCCATGTAGGTTTCTGTTAATAATCAAAAAGGCTGCTCAAAGCTGTAATTTATACTATTCAGTATTAATTCAGTCATACCCTAAAAACATATTAAGTTTTGTAGAAGCAGAAGGAGGAAAATACTTTGAAGTCTGTATGTCAAAGCCAATTTACTGATGTATCATGTACAGTACTTCATAAAGCTACTCACTTATCTTTCGCCCACTTTTCAGATACTCAGCCAAGGGAGTGATTATCTTCCAATGAGACAGAGGAATTTTACCAGTTTCCTCTGCCTTCTGGCACTCCAAATAATTACTGTTGCTCTGCTAAGGAAGCAGAATGTCTTTGTGCTATAAGGCAAATCATGATTATTGGGTTTTGTTTTGGTAGTTGTTTTGTTTTTATTGAAGAAACACAAGGATTTAATAAAACACTATTATATTTCTCAGTGTAACCTTTAAAGCTCAAGGCACTTGATGCTGTAACGCAACAGGAGTCTTACTCATTAAATATTTATCAGCAGAAAAAAATGCTTTACCTTACAAGACAGATCTCCAGTGTTCCTGGGAAGACAATCTTCCTTGGCACCTCCATGAGGCACAGGTAGCTTGAATAGAAACAGAGGCAAATAGAAATGTCTATTTCACTTCTAAGCACCTAAAATTCACACTGCAAGTGAAAATGGTCAGACAATGGAATTATTCAAACCACCTACTGCAGGTAACTAATTTAGGAGTCCAGTGGAAGAGGACAAGCTCCTTTGGAAGGCATTCAAACAGACTGCTGGTGGTATGAACTGCCACTTGAAGAAACCCAGGTGTTGTCACCTGCTTTAGAAGTGTCTCAGCCATCTAACTGATTACCATACAGTAATGATGTTCAGCAACACACTGGCACAAAAATGTGTTCATTTGTCACGGAGAGCACTGGAAAAACAACTTGGTGGAAAATTTCATTGGCGGCAGCAGTTGAGGGCAGGGAGTTACTAGTGATCTGCTACTGAATGACTACTTTGCACTCATGTACAAAACGTATCACACATTTCTTATGCAAACAGGCGTGGCTGCATCAGAGAGGAAGCATCATGCTTCCCTTATCTCAAAGCTGTTCCTACTATCAACTTAGATACATCTTTCTCCCTCTTTCTTGCACTTCTGCTCTACCAAGGATCTAAATGCAAGAGTGAAGATCAAAGAGAACGCAACAGAAAGCTTCCATGTAGTACTGAATATTGATGTTCCTTGCTATGGTTGTGTGGGTGGGGTTTTTTTTTTTTTGACAACAGCACTGGTTCAAGCAGCCACCAGCTCTGATTGCTGATCAGTTTCAAGTATTTGGGGAAAGACTCTCCTTTTTATCTGTAACATCGATCCACTTACATTTACTATTCCATAATAACACGTGAAATAACAAAAAAGAAACTATTTTATAATGAAAATGGATGGCATCAATAGGATGAAAATGTAAAGGTGATATTACATTCCTTACTCTTTGCAGGCTTGATTAAGCAAGGTCAACTACTTTTCAAGTTAAGCATTTTGACATATACAGGGAAAACCAATATACAAACACAATCATTTAGCATCTTTTCATGTGCTGTGACAGAATTCAGAACTGGTGACTATAAAAAGAACCCCTCAAACCCAAAAGATATGCATTAAAATTATATATATTAATGATATATATACACAAAAATACACATATCTGTACTTTGCTTGTATATTCCTTTCTCCAGTATTACCTTACCGTACTTATTACTATCTATCAGTATTTTCTAAGGGAGTTTATGCTGATAGATGCACTTTGAAAGCCACATCATAGTAGCCTTCCTCACTACCTCTTTCAGTACTGTTTAAAGCAACACTGGTTTATGACCTACAGTCTCAGAATATCTCAACTCTCACCATGTATTTATTGTAGAGAGGATGACCTGGTTTAGGTCTAGGAGGTAATGCTGGATCTGAATTTTTAAAGACTGAACTTTTTGTTCTCTTGGGTCCCAGTCTGAACTTGCTGGTTTTTCTGTCAGGAGCGATGTCAGATGTAGACCGTGAAAGAGCTTCCTTCTGGGATGAGGTCTTGGTTGCAGAGAGTTTTGGTGGAGGTGGCCTCCCAGGAACATTTCTAGGTGGGGGAGGTCGAGCAGGTATAATTTTTCCATTCACAGGCCTAAACATCAGATAAAGCGTAAAGGAAATATGCATATTAATAAGCCTGCTGCCTCATCCTCCACCACAGCCCTAGCTATAGAATATGCAATAAGGAAACATGACTCAGGATGATCTGGACTGTAGAGTCTGTAGTACTTGAAGCTCTCTGGGAATACATGAACTCTCAGATCCTGGAACTAGAGGATCAAGTCCTTAGATTGCTTGACTACGTATTTCTAAGTCTGCTCACCTCTTTCACTTCTCAACAGCCTGCCAGCTTTCTGGACAGTCCACTACATAAGCCGGATTTCTTTCGGCAATCCACCCTGAGAAAGAGCTTTGTCTGAAGCTGCCTTAAGATGGAGTTGTTCTAGTGGAGAGCTTTAGTGAAAGCCCTGAGAATCTCTGCTGATCTAGCTGGTCTTCAGCAATGAGACTAACTCATTCCCTGGGATGTCACTTACCTCAAGTGACTTCTGGGCATCTGCTGAAACTCATGACACATAACACCACTTTGCACTATGGCATCAATAGCAGAATTACCACTTTTATGCAACTGATGTCTACTGCTGAAAGAGAACACTGGTGAAAAGACTTGAGTTTTCTGGCAGTGCTGGAGGTACCACACTTTCATTAGTGTGTCAGTAGTTTAGGAACCAAAATTAGAAACTAGTAGGTGTCAGTGGTAATTAATCTAAAAAATCCCCCTTACTAAGCACTGATTAAAAAAAGCTGTCGATAGAGTACACTCAAGCCACAATTTTTAGAATCAAAGAGCGTGGCCAAATCAATAATTTGCTAATGAAAAAATCACCTCTGTTATAAACAAGCATTATGTACACATAACTTTGGCTTCCTGTTATTAAGAACCCTGGCACTAACACTATTCCAAAAATACAAATTGTTTTATTATTAATGGGAAATATTTGGCCATTTACTGCAAGTTTCTGCTACAGTTGTCTCTTTCATGTGGTGTAATTCAGCACAACTATTTGCTTACATGAATTCCTCAAGGGTCTGTAAAAATCATTAAGCACAACAAATGTGCATTAGTGGCTCTCTGGAGTCTCCTTCTGACATATTTTGAGTGTCATCCATCACTTGAGAAGACACTAGTGTTCTACTAATGCTCCTGATACTAGTTCTCCATTACTATTTGAGATTGGATTAGTTTTTCGATTAAAAAAAAAAAATCCACTTCTGTTCAACTTCCACCTCTTCCCTTTCCTGGCTTCATTCTAAAGTAAGCTTTTTTAAAGTTGACAAAATGGGAAATTCCAAGTTAGACTGCATTAAATCTGAAAACAAACCAACCCATGCATTTGTAACGCAACTCGACTGAACAAGAAAACTCGAACAAGCAATTCAAATAATTATTATTGCTTACTTAAAAATAAATAATCCATTTGAGCAGAAAAGACAAAGAACAAAATGTTTACTGCAGTTTCAGACACCCTCAGGAGAATCAGGAATGCTGCTACACTAAACAGAACAGGGGAAAGCAACAAGCACGTAAGGGACGACAATGAGGTGTTTCTTTGTGGGTACAACCATATTCATTCCTGTTAATGAATACTTATTATTATTGGTAGTCTAAGTTTAATAGCTGAAGTATTCTCTCGTTCTGACACAACAGAGGAAGCTCTTGTGTTTAAGCCCACAGATTCAGAGTGCAGACGCTGAGATAGCCACAGTGGCCTAGATAGCCAATGCTTTATCTTCCTCCAGTTTGTCTCTGGCATTCAGTGGACCTAAATTTAAGGTTGGTCCAGCCACTTTTTCCTCCACAGACCTTCTTTCTTATTGGGTCAAAAGAATAAAAACCTTAAGGTTATCATTGATTCTGCATCTTCACAGTTATTTTACGGCTGAAGTGAACTGTATAAAGTAGCCAGTACTTCTGGGAAGGCAGTGGCCCAGCATCTGCCCTTTTCAGGGTGACAGCAACTGCCACCTCCATTCCTTTACCACTCAAACCCAGCCACAAGTGCAAGTGCTGTGGGTGAAAAGGTTAAAGATGCAGAAAGGAATGACTGTCAGCAGCCACTGTACATTAGCTGAAGAGCCAAACAGCTGTCCTCCTATAATCTCCCTGCTCATACCAATAGCGTACAAACAAGTATTAATCAGCTAGCAACTTGGTCCTGCCTATTTATTAGTGAGCATACTACCTACCCAAGCCTATTGAGTTAGAAATAGAGTTGGTAGTGTCTACACTGAGACTAACTGGGCAAATTAACTTAGAAACATCACTTGTAAGTGAATCACTGAAAAACTGCACTTACCTTGGGGGTAATAGAGGATCTAGCTGTGGCACTCCACCTTTTTCTGAATGATCCAACTCCTATAAAGATTCAAAAGAAAAAAGCCATTTCTTTAAGCCTAAGAAACAAAAATGAACTTGTTTAAATGATGCATTTCTTAAATTATAACCTACATACAGGAAAAAATAGTTTCTAGAGGTCTGGGAATAAAGTGGTAAGTATTATGGTGCATTCTAGCATTTCAAAGTCTTGTTGGACACAGAAGAAAATGTAAATCGTCTGGGTGGCTACGTGAATCACAGCTTGAGTTGTGCATTAAGTATGACCTAGCCCTCTTCTCCTACCACATGGGAGTCAGGGCTCAAGAGCCAAATTCAGGAGAGTCATACAAATGCAGAATTTCACTGCCCACAGAATTCCAACTGCTGCAGTTACATCATCAATTTTGATCTAACTTTGACAGATGAAACACTTTGAATTGGCTTAAAGCAGAAACATGACATTAATGAAACTCACACAGGACAGCGTCTCTTGCAAGTAACATCAGCTGTCATTAAAGAAGGCACCTAAGTATGTTTCCTAGACATCTAAAAGACAAATCCTGATGAATTTTTCTTTAGCACATTGTGGTGTTATTCCTCTCAGCTGCCCATCCTGACCCTGCCAGAGATTACTACCCTGTAACAGAGTCAGCAGAGGGAAACATGTGCCATGTCTGAAGGGCTTGGCCCACAGCAATGGATTAACAAGTTACCATCCATTCTGCCTCCTGCTGTTCATTGTCCTCCCAGCGCCAGAAAGTACTGCCAGCTCCTTTGAACAAGCACAGCTGCTTGTGGAACAGCATGGTAAATGAGAGTGCTGAATCTGGGTTCAAAAGTATCATTTTTTGAACCAGTAATATCCAATAGGTCTGAATGGTCTTGTTTACTTAATTAGGGATTATTGGAATATGTATTGGATATAGGGAAACTGGTAAACAATTTTGGTGATTTTTCATCCCTAGAAAATACCTAGGCGTACTTTGTGACAAAACTTTGATCCTTGATGAAGTCTCAAAATGAATGCTCCTGGCTGAACAATCCTGATTAGAAAGAAACCTGCCACTTTCCGGTGGGGAAGTTATACGAAGAAAATCCCTCTCCTGTGTGAAAAGGAAGAAATCTATGCCAACTACTGCTTACAGTCAACGATTTTTACTGTTGTTGGTTAATCACTTCCACTGACAAACAATACTAGCTTTAGAAGCACAGAAGTTCTTATCTTTCCAAGGATAAGATTTGAATGTTTCAGTGGACTTGATGCAGCCTTTTTCTTAAAAACACTATCTGAGGCTTACATAAGCCTGTCACAATAACCTGGATGACACTGGGAAAGTTTTGAGGTTGCATTCTTTAAAATGTTATTTAACATCTTGTATGGGCATTATTTCTTCAGCATTATTCAGAAAAGATGGAACCTCTATGAATAGCCTCTTCAATCAAGGCATTTAAAAACCACTTTATCCTATTAGCAGAAGTAGCCACAAAGAAATTTCATGGCAGCTCTCTAGCTAGTGAGGGCTTTTGATTTGACTTTATCTTTTTACTGCCTGTGATTTCCAAGACTGCCGCTCTTGCCATCACAGCACTCAATATTTGGAAATTCTACTGTCATTTTCTAGTTTGTTCTAATTCCCTTTTGTAAATCCATGTCAAAGGGCATACAGGACACACAGCTACAATGTCTACCATTACTAGGTACTCAGGAGCAAGCAGAGCCTTACTTTCCCAAATAGATGGTTCTACTCTAGCTCCAACAGGACCAGAAGAAAACAACTAGAAGGAAAGAGCTGAAGAAAGCAAGCTTCATTGATCTACAGAAAAGTTTCCTCTGCCTGGAAATTAGCACAGACACTGAGAGGTACCATGTGTATGGAGTTAAAAAAATACATTTCTAAAGGACTTTGACAGCATTTCACTATGTAAATCTCATTGGACTTTGAAACACTTTGCAGTGCTTTTGAAAGTAAATTGTAGAATATCCTGATTCCAGCTACTAAATACAGAAAATTGAAGATAGATGTGATCAAAGTTCAATAAAATCAACAAAGTGCTCTTCAGAACTGACAGCAGTCTAAATTATCTGATTAAATCAGAGAACGCAATTAAAAGAAAAAAGCCTTATATTTTTTGAGTAGTACTTTTAATCCTTTGGTCCTTCAAATAACTTAACTTTACAAATGCTTGAGAGTCACAAGAGAGTCACAAGAGAACCAAAGCAGACAAAGCTGTAATAGAGGAAAACAGTCCTAACTTACCCCTTTTTTTATTAGGTCACCACTGTTCTGTTTTCCCACTGTGATATCAGAGGTGTTCCCAATAGGCTTTTCAGCAGGAAGTGGCGGAGGGCTATGCAGGATTTCATTTAAAGCTGTAAAAAACCCAAAATGTTCCCAAATGAAAGTCTAATTAATAGCTTCTTCACATGAACCAACAATAGGTGAGGGAATGCATATTGATTTGGGCCATTTTTTTTGTGAAAATAACTTCCTTACTGAAAGCCAGAGCAGCCAATGGGCAGAAACACTTAAAGACTAGTGAATTAAAAAGGGACATGAATGGAATATTGCAACTCTGGGGTTAATTTCAGGAGTACCTTCCATCCTGCATAATGGATCTTCACTTTACACTCAGGACACCAGTAAATTATTCTAGAGTTTCAGCATTTCAGCTGCAATACTTGTTGATATAATATTAGACAAGTAGAAGAGCTTCTACCCTTGGGAATGTCAGACCCATGACGGGATACCCTGAAACACCATCACCATCTCTCAGCCACATTTCTAAACTGGCTCACTTTTTTCAGCTGTCAGCTCCTGGAATATCCTTCAGGCTGGAAAACAGCTGAGGGTTATTTCAAGTAACCCTGAAAGATCAGGAGACTTGGATGGAAGAATCTCCAGAAAGGTAAAGGCAAGAAAAGAAACTGTTGCCTGCTTCAAAATTCATGGTGACAGAAGGAAAACAGAGATGGAAGCTCCTTGGTAGTCTTTAAGGAGCTAAGCAAATATAGGAAATGGAAGAGGAAGCAGTACAGCTCTTACTAGGGAAGAGTGATGATGCCTTCGTTTTCAATAAAGAACATAAAAACCCACTAATTATATGATATATTATACTGCTTTCAAAGTCTCTCCCACTGAAACCTGGGAAGCACTTAGACAGGTTTTGCCAATATCATTTTGTCTTTATGTACCAATCATTTTGTCCTTATGTATTAGAACCCTGTCATCTATTTTACAATGTATTTGTATACCAAGAATATTCATTTCATACAAAGAACTTCAGACACTTAAGCTCTTCTGACTTCCAGCTAGTCTTGGAGTTATGTAAAAATATATGTAGACAGCCTGGACATTTATAGATCGATGACAAAAGAGATTCTATCCAGATGAAAGCATTCAGTTGCTCATTTCATGAAAAGTACTTTTAAAGAAACAACCTGTAAGAAGAAGTGTTATTTTTAACATCTCAGTTGCATTATTATGATATAAAACACTGGTGTGATGTTTAAAAATGGATCATTTCAAGGATAAATCCCTTATTCTTAGAAGCAAGTCACAGTTACCATGTTGTTTTCCTGCGATCACCTGTGACCAAGAACAGGAAAAACAAAACTAGTGCAGTTCATCACTCTACTAATCTAATATGATGGACAAAAAATAAAACCAAGACCTGACAGTAACTGCAAGAGAAACCTTTTCTAATCATGCCTTATTGATCTATAAAAAGCACGAGAGATTTATTTATTCATGCCACTTCAAATCTTGATATATACAGATGGCCTAATTTCCTTGACTCTACTCTTTACAAGACCATAATTAAAGGAAATAAAGGAAGAAAAAACCCACCCAAGAACTAGAAGGCAGGTGTTATTTTCAGTGATTTCTAAGTGTAATAACTGAAGTGGAAGTTTAATACTTCCTTTCTAATGAAATCTCAACAAAAATGCTAATGCTAAATGAGTGCTTTACCAGAGTTCAAATTCTTAAGCATCCAGCTCTGTCCCCTTTTTCCTAGGGTTTTTGGTAGTTGTTTTGGGATATTTCTTTTAGGTTTGCAGCGGTTACTGGCAGAATTAATCTCCTTCCACACCCAACATGGTGAAAGACCCCTTGTACTGCAATTATGTGGCCCTCTTACAGGGTAAATCCTACTGTATCCATGTTATACCTTGGTCCAAGTAAGTGCAACTTACTTTTCTAATTTTTTGACTTTTAACATCTTACATTTCTACTGACATATGACTACTCTGCTTTTCTGGAAGCTGCTCCTGCCCCTCCACATCCTGTTATCTTCCAGCTACAGCCTCCCATAAAGCTCCCCCGATAATTGCAGCCAAGTACAGTATGGGCGGCAGTCTCCTGTGGAAAGTTCCATTACCACTAGAGAGCAGCAAGGGACCAGTTATCTACAAGTTCAAAAGAGAATCCAGCTCAGGGAATTAAAAAAATAAAACAAAAAAAATAAATAAAATTCTCAGGTCTTTTTCTCCCTTTTCCCCCCTAAAAATAGGAAATCACCATTTCCTTTCTGGAGAAGAATTATGTCTTGGATTCTTTACAGTGATTGTAAATGTATTCTTCCAACTGAAAAAAACTTTAAGATCATAATTAACAGAAATACTGTTCTCATAGCTTTCTTTTCAGTCTTCTCAGCATTTTTAATAATTTCAAATGCATTTCTCACTTATGCAGAGGAAAAGAAATCCTAGTATTTTAGCACTGGGGAGGTGGGGTGAGGAGGGGAAGAAGGGAGCTTGGGAAATAATGAGAGAAAATCTTAGGAGAAAAGCCACCTGGACATCTGGTTGCTACAGACTGGCTCTACACCTAGTCAGTGTACTAAAACATGAGTTTGAAATACGAGTTTTAAGAGCTATCTGGTGACATTTCTCCCTAAGCTTTGAGGATAAAACATAAGGCTAAAAAGAAGCAAGAGTGTACTCTTGCATACAAAGATCAACACAAAGACCTCTGATACATTTCCACTCTGAGATACTCTTGCTGTCATTTGTAAAGCCATAAAGGATTAGAGGTGAAAGGTGTTAGGGATATGGTAGCTGTCAGAAAACTATAGTCAAGACCTTGACACAAAGTTGAACACATCAGGTTTTTGCATCTAAGTTCTCACATGCCATTTTTATCTCCTCAACTGCTACCAAAACACTATTGCTTAAATGGCCACGGATTTCAAATTTCACAATGGTCAAGGGAATAATTTGATGTAATCTGTGAAAATTATCATTACATCCCAGCTGTGTTTGAAGCAAAGTTTAATACTCTAATGTTCCTTTGACAAGTGGGGGCCCTGCTCTCAGGAAATTAGCAGCAGTCAAATACCCTCAGCTGATGTCAGAAGTGAATTTGACCAAAGGTACAACTCAGTGATATGGTTTAGCTGACAAAACAAGCTTGCTTCTGCTGTAAAAGGTCTCCTCCAGCTGTTCCCTGCTGCTTCCCTTAGAAGTCCCCACTGTTTCACCTTTGATATGCATTAGCTCCATAAAGTGCAAGGGACATCAAACGTAGTGCAAAGGAGGGAGCCAGATGAGGTAGCTGGGAGGCAGGGAGAGTGGAAGGTGACTCTTAGCTATTTCTCCTTTCCACCACAGCCCTTAGGTTGGCTCCTCTGTCTTGTCAAACTATATGGTAAAATTCCTGTGGTAGCTAATAATAGCTAATAAACAGCAAAAACAAAGTAAAAGGTAAGTCACAGTTAGGAAGGTTTTCTCAGATTTCTCAGACAATTTGAAAGAAGAACTTACATTTCCCGGGTTTAGCTGGGATTCGGATCACAGTGGGTTTCCGGGCTATGGGTGGTTGAACAGTTTGTTCCTTTGCGGGTTCACTTTTGGTGAGGAACTGAAAAGGATCTAAAAGGAAAGAAACATAAAACAACCCCTCCTACTTAATATTTATTTGTTGAACAAAATCTCACTAGGTATTGATTTCATTATTGAGGACTTACATATTTCGCACACAGGAAAGTGATAATAATAATAAAATCAGGCTGATGCTAATAGAGTACTCAGCTCTTTGCAAATAACATGTCTTTTCTGTACATCTGCATTCACAGTTGACACATAAACATGCTCCAGATGCTTTCCGGCATTATGTAAGCCATTGAACAAGAGGAACTGCAATGCTTCCTAATAGGGACCTGAAATCAGGATGGCTTTAGGGAAGTGTTTTCAAAGCAGTAGCTCTAATATGCAAACATAGCTGTGAACACGTTCACTAAAAAGTTTTAATCAATAAAATCTTGCCAAAGCTAAACAGTCACCACTGCAGCAGATAAAATGCCTACAGAAACAAAGCAAAGCAAAACAAAGCATGTAAATATTACTGATTACAAAATGCCTTTGCTGTAGAACAACTAATTCTCTGGAAGATTCTGCATAATACTGTTGATTATAAACTTGGTGTCAAGCAGGAGACTGGTTCAGATCAAGAACTGGAAGCCATGCCTGAGCTCTGCCCCTGCCTGTATCACTCATTCCTCTACAAGCCTGTCCAGTCATTCCATCGGTAAGATAGGAGCACTGTTTTCTATGCTTCATAAACTTGAGCACTGGTCTCTTATTAATAGGCATGGGAACATATGTGCATGTAGAAGGCAGCTGTAGAAATACTCAGACATAAATAAAACCCAAATCAATGGGTTCTTTTCTCAAGTACCCCTTCATGTCAAAGAGCAATACACCCTATATATCTCTTCTCTGTTGTTAACTGCCACCTTTTCCTCTGACATTACCAAAAACTGTAGTAAAAAGACAACGCTTAACACAATCGTAAATATCTGAAGAAGAAACTGGAGAAGGGCTCCAGATAATAAATTCTCCATGACACACATTCATAGCCCCAACAACTGAGTTTGATCTCCTCTGGTGGCCTTTTAAGATGTATAGCTCAATGAGATGTTATTTATGGAGTGTCAGAGTCTCAGAGAGGAGGTATGCTGGGTATCTCTTTAAATTCTTCAGGCCTTTCTATAAAAACATATCCTTGCTCCAAAGTACAATCACACTTTTTGATAAATTTGGAAGTCCTGTATTTGATGCAACTTTTTATTCAATACAACCCCCCCAATTTTAAAAACTATGTAATACAAAATCATGATTTCTTACAGATCAACACAAAGACGTTGTGGCTCTGATAAATTTCCACTCTGAGATACTGTCAGTGTCACTTGTAAAGCCGTAAACAATTAGAGGTGAAAGGCATTAGGGATATGGTACTATCCATAGGAACTGCCAGAAAACTATAGTCAAGACCTTGACACAAAATTGAAGGCATCAGGTTTTTGCATTCAAGTGGACACTTGGATAATGTAAATCCAAAATAACATAAAATAGGCCCAAAGTAATTTCAGGGAGAGAAAACACAGTGTCATATTGAGCTGTTGAATTACAGTGTAATGGACTGCCCTCCCGCATGCACACAACCTGGCAGTCACAACTCCCCCAACCACTGCTGCCACTTCTCTTTGCAGTCCATGTCCCCAGCCCTCCCTAGCTCCTGCTGCCAGCACACAGTGTAGCAACAGCAAGGACAACATGCTGCAGGGCCTGTGTATGCTTACTCCTGCTCAGATGTCCACCTCCTACCAGCCCCTTGCTCAAGGCTCTGTTTGTAGGCACATCCATCACGGTACAGGTGTGCCCTGGGGGTTTGTGTCATGGTCTTTTTCAAAGTCTAGAAATCTACCTGCCTACAGGTTCCCCAGAAATCTGCCTGGGTACCTTCATGTCACATCTTAATCATTAATCAAAGCACCTCAATTCTTTCTGTCAACCTGCATGTATAACAGCTTCAAGCTTACAGTTCAGGTCATAGAATCACAGAATAGTTGATAGTGACCTTAAAGATCATCTAGTTCCAAACCCCCTGCCATAGGCAGGGACACCTTCCCCTAGACCAGGCTGCTCAAAGCTTTATCCAACCTGGCCTTGAAAGGTCAACGATTTGTCTACACCTAAAGGTATACCGACTATAGTTAACAATAAGCTCTGTTACCCTCCAGGCAGATGATAACTCCATTGCATTGTCTCCGAAGACATAGGCACACCCAGAAACCAGGCACAGGCAACCCACAATGTTTTAGAAGGTAAGGGTATAACTAACATCTTCAGTTATGGATTAGCACTAGTCAGTAAAAGGTTTAGGTCCCTTCCATGAAAGCTGCACCAGAGCCATAGTTTTTCTAGAGGACTAAAACACAGACCACAAGAGGGGTGCAAGCACTCTGGCAGTATGGTCACTACAGGAAACAAAAATCCCACTCCTGGAGCAAGCCTGCAGTTGTGATTTTCCTTTTTTCCTTTATCCTTATGTCTGCCAGCTACAATGCTAACATATGAATTGCACTGAGAAAGATTTATCTAATCTTAACCCTTACATTAATGTTCAGAGTGACTTCAGTGCAGCTGAAAAAAAGAAAACTGAACCTGGACTTTCTGCTCTTTCAGTTATGTGGCAACTCTATAACAGATTTGAGGAGTGACCCTGGCGAGGCAGTAGGGAAGTGGAGCCTCAGTGCTGTCCTGGCCTGTTGGGAAGCTAGAGCCAGAGAGCGAGCAGAGGAAAAGTGAGCAGGGCTAAGTCACAGGCTCCTGGCTTCAAACAGCAGACCGTAAGAAACACACTGGCACGCAGAGCACACCTCTAAAGGTCTGGTTCTGCAGAGGTTAAGGAAGCTCTGCACAAACAATGAAGAAACAATTTTCCAAAGCCTCCATCTTATAAAAATATAAACATTGTGAGGCCAAGTCGAAATGCTCTAAACACCCAAAATAATCAGATATCTGTGTTCCTGTAAATTTACAGGAGATTTAAAATTGCACAAAATTACTGTTTGTCAGCTGTTAATCACTGCTGTGCATAAAAATGGTTTTCTTGACCATTCAATCCTTGGCAGAGGTCTCTACATCAATAAATCTGAGAAGTAATTTTTAAGTCTGAGGAAAGTTATTTCTAAGGCTGAGAAAACCATTTGATGACCCTTAGCTTTCCACTCATTATCGTATGTTCAATTATACTGTTGTCACCTCATAATTAGTTTAAAACTCATTACCTTGTTTGTGTTATTCCATTCCCCAGTGCTGGGTTTGCAGCAGGAATTGGCTGAGTAAACAACTGTGCTGCTTTGTGCAATGGGACTGACAACATATCAAATTTTTATGTTGTTTAACAACAATTGGGCATCGTTTGATCATAATTCACAGAGGTGTGAAACTAGAATTGTTAATATACTCATTTAAAGCTTCTCAGCTCAAGGAAATTAATCTGCAAGGCATTTTTCATAACACATATCAGCAGACTTGTATTGATTTATTTTTTTATTAAACTTTTCCAGTGATGCTTAATGCCTGTTTCTTCCTTAGTCTCACTTCTCTACAGCTTCTGTTTCAAAGGTTTATGTGATAACATATATTGCTGTGCTTGTTCACAGGAAAGACAAATGAAAGATGTGTATTCAAATACATTGAATATCATCTCTTTCTTTTACCAGTTTAGGAGAGATGGCTTTTTCCCCCACACACTCTCATTTACAATCCTTGTTTAAAACAAAGAATTCAGAGGTTACAGAGCAAACACAAGGCTTTTCCCATATGAGTAGGACAGATGGGTAATTTTCTGAAATATTTGCGGGTTTTTTAAGCAAAAGATAATAAGGCAGTAACAGAACCTCCCCAGCAATAAGGGGAATCTCCAAACAAATCAGATGTGGAAAGCTAAAAGCACAGAATAGCGATACCTGCTGTGAAGATGCTTAGTCCAGCCAGAAGCACTCTCAGTACATGAGAGCTATGTAGTACGAAAGGTCTTGATGCTAACATTACAACACTTGCCACTACAGAAGTACACAACTGTGTCTACTTTCAGTGTTTAATTGAAAGACCTAAATCAGCTGTTAAAGGCAAGGCTCACACATTCTCTTCATACAGAACACTATTGTTATAGGCATCTTCCAGGAACACATATTAGAGCCAACCCTCATCAACAAATAGATTTATTAAAACCTAGCCCCATGAAAACACTCTGGTGTCTGTGTAAGCATAATTAACAAACATACTTGGAGGAAGATTTTCAACAACAGGTCCCTCCTAGTAACATAGCTGGAGATTCAATGGAAACCTGACAGGGGTCATCCCAAAGAGGAATGGGGTGAAGCATTGTGAAATGCTACAACCAGAAACCTGATGTCCACTCAGATGTTCTAAATCGTAACAACTATAAATAGACATATTAGGCAGGTACCCTACCTAAATTCCAGCATCGGTAATTTTCCCAATCTCAGTTTTCCCCAGTATTTTCATCACCAAAATTAATAGTTCACCATCCTTAGAGATGCTGTTTCTGATGAGATGGAATAATATAGACTAAACACCTTTCTCACAACATGCAATTTGCAGCTCTCTCTGCAAATAATGGAAAATTGCCATGACCTGGTCACGATCTTTTAATAAACTGTGAAATTAAAAAAGAAAAAGGAGGGCGTTGGGAGGGGGAAGAGAGAGGAAATGAGATGCAGGCTCTTTCAGGATGCAATCTGTGCATAACAAACTCGGGCTTCTTGGCACTGTCCTAACACTAGGAGAGTAGACCAGGTCACTCAAATAAGAGGAATACAGTATTCAGAAGTAGTGTTAGTATGGCTTCAGACTTAAAACTGGAAAAGAGACAAGCAAATCTGCTATCATAACATTCTAAGGTTTCCTTCTCCCCAGTCTACACAGAGGTTTTTCATGACTAGCCCAGTTATTCTGGTAGAGGCTATGAAGTCTCTGTGGTTCTGCTTCATTCAAAGATTCATCAGACCAAGGAGATTTGCTTTACCTGGTATGGCACTTCTAGTCAATTACTTGAGTAG